AAACTGTTTCATTTCCCATGTCAGTGACATGTGACGGCTTAGAGAGCCATGTGACGGTTCATGACAGCTTCAGAGGGCCATGTGAGGCGTCATGACAGCTTCAGAGGGCCATGTGAGGCGTCATGACAGCTTCAGAGGGCCATGTGACGCGTCATGACAGCTTCAGAGGGCCCTGTGCCGCTTCATGACAGCTTCAGAGGGCCCTGTGCCGCTTCATGACAGCTTCAGAGGGCCATGTGAGGCGTCATGACAGCTTCAGAGGGCCATGTGCCGCTTCATGACAGCTTCATAGGGCCATGTGCCGCGTCATGACAGCTTCAGAGGGCCATGTGACGCATCATGACAGCTTCAGAGGGCCATGTGACGCGTCATGACAGCTTCAGAGGGCCATGTGCCGCTTCATGACAGCTTCAGAGGGCCATGTGACGCGTCATGACAGCTTCAGAGGGCCATGTGACGCGTCATGACAGCTTCAGAGGGCCATGTGACGCTTCATGACAGCTTCAGAGGGCCATGTGACGCTTCATGACAGCTTCAGAGGGCCATGTGACGCGTCATGACAGCTTCAGAGGGCCATGTGCCGCTTCATGACAGCTTCAGAGGGCCATGTGCCGCTTCATGACAGCTTCAGAGGGCCATGTGACGCATCATGACAGCTTCAGAGGGCCATGTGCCGCTTCATGACAGCTTCAGAGGGCCATGTGACGCGTCATGACAGCTTCAGAGGGCCATGTGCCGCTTCATGACAGCTTCAGAGGGCCATGTGACGCGTCATGACAGCTTCAGAGGGCCATGTGCCGCTTCATGACAGCTTCAGAGGGCCATGTGATGCTTCATGACAGCTTCAGAGGGCCATGTGACGCGTCATGACATCTTCAGAGGGCCATGTGCCGCTTCATGACAGCTTCAGAGGGCCATGTGACGCTTCATGACAGCTTCAGAGGGCCATGTGACGCGTCATGACAGCTTCAGAGGGCCATGTGCCGCTTCATAACAGCTTCAGAGGGCCATGTGACGCTTCATGACAGCTTCAGAGGGCCATGTGCCGCTTCATGACAGCTTCAGAGGGCCATGTGCCGCTTCATGACAGCTTCAGAGGGCCATGTGACGCGTCATGACAGCTTCAGAGGGCCATGTGACGCTTCATGACAGCTTCAGAGGGCCATGTGACGCTTCATGACAGCTTCAGAGGGCCATGTGACGCTTCATGACAGCTTCAGAGGGCCATGTGATGCTTCATGACAGCCTCAGAGGGCCATGTGACGCTTCATGACAGCTTCAGAGGGCCATGTGACGCTTCATGACAGCTTCAGAGGGCCATGTGCCGCTTCATGACATCCTCAGAGGGCCATGTGACGCTTCATGACAGCTTCAGAGGGCCATGTGACGCTTCATGACAGCTTCAGAGGGCCATGTGACGCTTCATGACAGCTTCAGAGGGCCATGTGACGCTTCATGACAGCTTCAGAGGGCCATGTGACGCATCATGACAGCTTCAGAGGGCCATGTGACGCTTCATGACAGCTTCAGAGGGCCATGTGACGCTTCATGACAGCTTCAGAGGGCCATGTGCCGCTTCATGACAGCTTCAGAGGGCCATGTGACGCTTCATGACAGCTTCAGAGGGCCATGTGACGCTTCATGACAGCTTCAGAGGGCCATGTGACGCTTCATGACAGCCTCAGAGGGCCATGTGACGCTTCATGACAGCTTCAGAGGGCCATGTGACGCTTCATGACAGCTTCAGAGGGCCATGTGACGCTTCATGACAGCTTCAGAGGGCCATGTGCCGCTTCATGTGCAGACTAAGGTGGTCTGAGCGAGAAAAAGCCCGCTCACAGAGGCGGCACTGGAAGGGTCTGTCACCCGTGTGCTTGCGGTAGTGTCGCGTGAGCTCGTCGGAGCGCGCGAACTTCCAGCCGCAACCCTTCCAGTCGCAGGTGTAGGGCTTCTCTCCGGTGTGGGTCCTCATGTGTGCCTTCAGGTGTGACGACTTGGCGTACGTCTTGGCGCAGCCGGTGTGGCTGCAGGTGTGGATGATGGCCTTGCGTCGCGTCCACGTGCGTCTGCGTCGGGTTTTGGGCTTGCTGGGCGGCTGCTGCTGCGTCGGGGCCGTCGGGAAGCCGTGTGGGAGCCCGATGGGCAGGCAGGTGGCCATGTTGGGCGGCAGAGGGCCACTGAGGCCAGGTGGCACATGGCCACCCATGAGGGAGGGCGATGACGGCGGCGTCAGGAGTGGATTGGTGGATATGGCGGATAGTCCTGGCGGATAGGGCGGCTGGGTGGAGCTGGAGGGTGGGTAGAGGTCGGCCGGATAGGGCGGGGTAGAGGGGAAGTAGCCGTACTGCAGGCCGGGGTCAGTAGCCGGATAGTACTCGGTCCAGGAGGTACTGTCCTTGTACTCCCAGCTGGCCTCTGGCGCCACCTGCTCCCCGTACTCACTCTTGACGCGCCACTGGTGGGCGGGGAAGGTGGGCGGGTAGCTGGCGCCGCCCACGTCTCCTGATGCAGGCGAGTGGGTGCGGGGGGCGGCCTGACACACGCCCACACCTGCTGTGGGCACTCCGGCCACTGGCGAGGTGGTGGCTGGCTGTGTGGGCGGCTGGTGGGTGGGCGTGGGCGGCTGTGGGTGGCTGGGCGAGTGATGTAAGAGTTGATGTGTCAGTGGGTGTACCTGGGTGTGGGGCTGTGGGTGTAGATGTGGCTGTGGGTGTGTGGGCGGCTGTGTGGGCGGCTGTGGGTGCGTGGGCGGGTGTGGGTGGGCGGGAGGCGTGAAGGCAGGGTTGGTGCTATCGGTGGTGGAGAATTTGATATCCCCCAAGAGGACAGTCTCTATATCATGCCACATCTGAAAGGATGAGAGAGACAGAGTTAGTCACACAGCCAACCCCTCAATCACCGGTCAAATCACCGGACAAATCACCGGACAAATCACCGGACAAATCACCGGACTAATCAACGTAATCTACAAATCACCAATAACCTTTTCAGTCAATAATTTCACTGTAGTTGGCGCGTGTGAGCACCTCAAGATAACTGTAAAGTTTTCAGTGCCTCAGTAAAGACTCACATCGAGGTAATCGGCCATGGCCCAGACACAGGTGCGGCGGGGCACACTCAGGGGCCCTCACACAGGTGTACAGACACAGGTGCGGCGGGGCACACTCAGGGGCCCTCACACAGGTGTATGATAACAAGACAACACGGAACACAGGTGCTACACCTCCTCACGCACCGGCTCCGTCGCTTCAACTGTTTCTCACCTGTACCTTTGCACCTGTTCTTATTTTCCAGTCGTGTGGCGGCACGCGCGACGCCTCCCACAACAGCCTAATTCCTCTGTCCATCGTCGCGTTCCATCAAGATCTTTCTTTGGTCGTCTCGAGCCTCGTCTGGTCGTCTCCTCCGACTATAATAACCTTTCTAAGCTTCCCATCAACAGCTTCTTCACTTCTACCGAACATTTCTGATGAGTTTTCAGTATTAACGGAAACGTTTGGGTTATGAGACATGATTTATGGGGAAATTTGTGTGTGTGAAGCGTAAGAAAGTTGGCGTACGGGCCGTAGCCTGGCCTGGGTACCCGTCATTCACTGGACATTTTAAATGCTGACATCATCGCTGGCCAATCAGCGACACTCAGAGGGGCATCTCCTCCAATCACAGAGTAGATAGGAGGATCTCTGGCACAGGGAACCAATCAGCGTCCAGGCCTGCGGGCACGTGCCGTCTGATCGTTGTCACAAACATCATTGCTGCCTTTTACCAACATGTTTATTTAACAGCCATTGCCAGTAATTTATCGTCAATTATCGTATTACATTATTAACATTTTTGAATAAAGAGCAATGTTAAATTTTTTAGCGTTTAGCAAAGGGAAAACATGATAGAGTAATCCAGTAGGTGGCGGTGTGTGGCAGTTCGCCAGGAACCAAATTCTCTGGGCAGTTTGATGCCTTACAAGGGCTAAAATGCTTCCCACCAGAGCAACAAGGGCACAATCCATACAAAGGTGTGTAAGGGAGGGCGTCCTTGTGGTCCTGGGATAGTTTGCCACAAGGTGATCCGTAGCAAGGATCAATTAAGTCTATCGTCGGCGGGCTCATCCCTGGCCCGGGGCGGCGCACTCAGACAATAGCTCCAATACCCGTCCTGATGGGCAGTTACAGGCGGTGATAGATGGTGTGGGCTTAGTGAATGCAGTAGCCCTTAAGTGCAGGTACAGTGAGGAGCAGCTCCGGTGGTTGATGGCACCCACGATAACCACCAGGAAATACCTGAGCCATGTGCAGTACTGTTGTGGTGGTGTTGTATTGTGGGGTGTTGTATTGTGGTGGGGTCTTGTATTGTGGTGGTGGTGTTGTATTGTGCTGGGGTCTTGTATTGTGGTGGGGTGTTGTATTGTGGTGGGGTCTTGTATTGTGGTGGTGCCTCTTGTATTGTGGTGGTGCCTCTTGTATTGTGGTGGGGCCTCTTGTATTGTGGTGGTGCCTCTTGTATTGTGGTGGTGCCTCTTGTATTGTGGTGGTGCCTCTTGTATTGTGGTGGTGCCTCTTGTATTGTGGTGGTGCCTCTTGTATTGTGGTGGTGCGTGTTGTATTGTGCTGGGGTGTTGTATTGTGGTGGGGTCTTGTATTGTGGTGGTGGTGTTGTATTGTGCTGGGGTCTTGTATTGTGGTGGGGTCTTGTATTGTGGTGGTGGTGTTGTATTGTGCTGGGGTGTTGTATTGTGGTGGGGTCTTGTATTGTGGTGGTGTTGGTGTTGTATTGTGGTGGGGTGTTGTATTGTGTATGTGTGGTGGTGGTGTTGTATTGTGGTGGTGCCTGTTGTATTGTGCTGGGGTCTTGTATTGTGGTGGTGGTGGTGTATTGTGGGGGTGTTGTATTGTGGGGTGTTGTATTGTGGTGTGTTGTATTGTGCTGTGTTGTATTGTGGTGGTGTGTTGTATTGTGTTGTATTGTGGTGTATTGTAGTGTGTTGTATTGTAGTGTGTTGTATTGTGGTGTGTTGTATTGTAGTGTGTTGTATTGTGGTGTGTTGTATTGTGGTGGTGTTGTATTGTGGTATTGTGTATTGTGTTGTTGTATTGTGGGTTGTATTGTGGTGTTGTATTGTGTGTTGTATTGTGGTGTGTTGTTGTATTGTGGTGGGTGTTGTATTGTGGTGGTGTTGTATTGTGGTGTGTTGTATTTGTGGTGGTGTTGTATTGTGGGTGTTGTATTGTGTGTGGTGTTGTATTGTGGTGGTGTTGTATTGTGTATTGTGGTGGTGTTGTATTGTGGGGTGTATTGTGGGTGTGTGTATGTTGTATTGTGGTGTGTTGTGTGTATGTATGTGGGGGTGTTGTATTGTGTGTTGTATTGTGGTGGTGTTGTATTGTGGTGTGTTGTATTGTGGTGGTGTTGTGTTGTATTGTGGTGTTGTATGGTGTGGTGTATTGTGTTGTATTGTGGTGGTGTTGTATTGTGGTGTGTTGTATTGTGGTGGTGTTGTATTGTGTGTGTGTGTGGTGTTGTATTGTGGGTGTTGTATTGTGGTGGTGTTGTATTGTTGTGTTGTATTGTGGGGTGTTGTATTGTGGTGGTGTTGTATTGTGGTGGTGTTGTATTGTGGGTGTTGTATTGTGTTGTGTTGTATTGTGTGTTGTATTGTGGTGGTGTTGTATTGTGGTGTATTGTGTATTGTATTGTGGTGTTGTATTGTGGTGGTGTTGTATTGTGGTGTTGTATTGTGGTGGTGTTGTATTGTGGTGGTGTTGTATTGTGGTGGTGTTGTATTGTGTTGTATTGTGGTGTTGGTGTTGTATTGTGGGGTGTGTATTGTGTGTGTGGGGTGTTGTATTGTGGTGGTGTTGTGGTGGTGTTGTGTTGTGTGGTGGTGTTGTATTGTGTTGTATTGTGGGGTGTTGTATTGTGGTGTATTGTTGTATTGTGGTGTGTGGGGTGTTGTATTGTGGTGTGTTGTATTGTGGTGGTGTTGTATTGTGGTGTGTGTTGTATTGTGTGGTGGTATTGTGGGTGTTGTATTGTGGTGTGTTGTATTGTGGTGGTGTTGTATTGTGGTGTTGTATTGTGGTGGTGTTGTATTGTGGTGGTGTTGTATTGTGGTGTGTTGTATTGTGGGGTGTTGTATTGTGGTGTGTTGTATTGTGGTGTGTTGTATTGTGGGGTGTTGTATTGTGGGTGTTGTATTGTGGTGGTGTTGTATTGTGGTGTTGTATTGTGGTGTTGTATTGTGGTGGTGTTGTATTGTGGTGCTGTTGTATTGTGGTGGTGTTGTGTTGTGGTGGTGTTGTATTGTGTGGTGTTGTATTGTGCTGTTGTATTGTGGGGTGTTGTATTGTGGTGGTGTTGTATTGTGGTGTGTTGTATTGTGGTGTTGTATTGTGTGGTGTTGTATTGTGGTGTGTTGTATTGTGGTGGTGTTGTATTGTGTGGTGTTGTATTGTGGTGGTGTTGTATTGTGGTGTTGTATTGTGGTGGTGTTGTATTGTGGTGTTGTTGTGTGGTGGTGTTGTATTGTGGTGGTGTTGTATTGTGGTGTTGTATTGTAGTGGTGTATTGTGGGTGTTGTATTATGGTGGTGTTGTATTGTGGGGTGTTGTATTGTGGTGGTGTTGTATTGTGGTGTGTATGGTGGGGGTGTTGTATTGTGGTGTTGTATTGTGGTGGGGTGTTGTATTGTGGTGTTGTATTGTGGGGTGTTGTATTGTGGTGTGTTGTATTGTGGTGTTGTATTGTGGTGGTGTATTGTGGTGTGTTGTATTGTGGTGGTGTTGTATTGTGGTGGTGTTGTATTGTGGTGTGTTGTATTGTGGTGGTGTTGTATTGTGGTGGTGTTGTATTGTGGTGGTGTTGTATTGTGGGGTGTTGTATGTGTTGTATTGTGGTGTGTTGTATTGTGGGGTGTTGTATTGTGGTGTGTTGTATTGTGGTGTGTTGTATTGTGGTGGTGTTGTATTGTGGTGTGTTGTATTGTGGTGTGTTGTATTGTGGTGGTGTTGTATTGTGGGTGTTGTATTGTGGTGGTGTTGTATTGTGGTGTGTTGTATTGTGGTGGTGTTGTATTGTGGTGTGTTGTATTGTGGTGGTGTTGTATTGTGGTGGTGTTGTATTGTGGTGGTGTTGTATTGTGGTGTGGTGTGTTGTATTGTGGTGTGTTGTATTGTGGTGGTGTTGTATTGTGGTGTGTTGTATTGTGGTGGTGTTGTATTGTGGTGGTGTTGTATTGTGGTGTGTTGTATTGTGGTGGTGTTGTATTGTGGTGGTGTTGTATTGTGGAGTGTATTGTGGTGTGTTGTATTGTGGTGTGTTGTATTGTGGTGGTGTTGTATTGTGGTGGTGTTGTATTGTGGTGGTGTTGTATTGTGGTGTGTTGTATTGTGGTGGTGTTGTATTGTGGTGTGTTGTATTGTGGTGGTGTTGTATTGTGGTGGTGTTGTATTGTGGTGGTGTTGTATTGTGGTGGTGTTGTATTGTGGGGTGTTGTATTGTGGTGTGTTGTATTGTGGTGGTGTTGTATTGTGGTGGTGTTGTATTGTGGTGGTGTTGTATTGTGGTGGTGTTGTATTGTGGTGGTGTTGTATTGTGGTGTGTTGTATTGTGGTGGTGTTGTATTGTGGTGGTGTTGTATTGTGGTGGTGTTGTATTGTGGTGGTGTTGTATTGTGGTGTGTTGTATTGTGGTGTGTTGTATTGTAGTGTGTTGTATTGTGGTGTGTTGTATTGTAGTGTGTTGTATTGTGGTGTGTTGTATTGTGGTGTGTTGTATTGTAGTGTGTTGTATTGTAGTGTGTTGTATTGTGGTGTATTGTAGTGTGTTGTATTGTAGTGTGTTGTATTGTGGTGT